GACCTCACGTTTGACCCATTCTTTCCCACTCCATATGTACGGAACACCTCGAGGGAATTTCTTCAAATTTGGTCAAAGGTCACCTCACAAAACCATAACTTTAGAATTCAAATGCTATTTAAGACATTTTTAGAAGTGGTGACATTTCAGGGGGACATGCATGAAACTTGGCTGGCTGAGGGAGGCTTAATTCGTGTTTTGGAAAATCCAACTCATTCTGCTTTTAAAGATGCTCAAACGTTCAGTAGAGCTGAGGGGAACCGCAAAGTGAGAGATGATGCTTTGTGGGTTCGTCACTACATTCGTCACATTAAATGTAGTAGTTTAATCCATTGTTAGAACTAATAGACATTTTTTGATTAATGTTATGAGTGTTCTTCTCATCTAGCAGGAGTATCCTTAATTAATATCTAGGCTGTACAACATCTTGAGGTTTTATTAGACTCAATGAGTCCTAACTGGCATGGCTTACAGTCCATTCTGTGCCACTAAAGTCTACTTTTCTTGTGTATTCTTGTGGTTGTTGCATACTGCGTGAACAAAACCCTTCAGACCACCAACACCTAGCAAAGCGTCCCTATGCCGAACATGGCTTGTGTTGTGTTGACATGTACATTGGATTAAAGTAGAAGCTTTTGTGGAAGCAAGTTGTGTTTGAGGGCTAAGCGGGATGACAGAGAGAAGGCTAAAGAGAACAAGAAATGACTTTGAGACGGATAAAGTAGGAAAAGAAAAGAAGGAAATGCAGTTAAATACCAAAGAAGGCACGAGGAGTGAGAGGGAGGGCAGTTTGCAGAGAGCAGTAGAAAAAGTTGAGGGGGGGTACAGAGAAATGAGGTAATGAACTAACCAGCGACTTCTTGTACTCATTCTTCCTTTCATTGTCTTTCCGTCCTGTTCCTTACTGCCACTCTCTTTTTTGAATTCAGATTTCCAAGGCCAGCTTTGTTTTGTTTTCAGTAAATTAGCCCAAATCCTTCAGCACACACACACTCAGCCTACACACCCAGAGCCTCGTGTGGTTTTACAGCCACAGATGGTCTATCAGAGGGGAGTTTATGAGTATTTCAAGCAGTGATGGATAACCTTATAGAGAAAGAAGTGTGTGTGTGTGTGTGTGTGTGTGTGTGTGTGTGTGTGTGTGTGTGGCTGTAGAGGTCTATGAATAGCGACAGTGAGGAAAGTGCTGTGTGGTAATTCAGAGCTCTGGCTGCACCCATCAACACCAACATTGGGTGAGAAGAATGGTGCCTTGTTGAAGAGGCTTTCTTTTACACAATGTGCTGCTAGGAGCCCCGCAACACATTGCACACTATGTTGACGCCGTGTCTGTTGTGTGACCGTGAAAGACAAAAGAAAATGGGTAGATGCACATGTGACAGACTCCGCTTGAAGTTCTCTTCCTCTAGACGTGAGGTTAGACTGATGCACCTCTGCGTTTTGCATTTTGTGCCACCAGTTCGGCTTTGGCAGGAAGTCTGCAGGACTTGCCTCGCTGTTCTTTTCAAAGCAAGTTGAGCTAATACTTTCTGGAGCATCTGGCAGTCACAGACAGTGGAAGGACTACATTTGTGGCAAAAGAGGCCTTGATTTTAAGAAAAACAGGCACCAGTACGAGGTTAAGGCTACTTAACGTCTCTCCTGTCTCATTTGCTTCACAGTAATTGGAACACTTGCTCATGAAAGTAAGCTCGATTGACCATATATTGTGGTTTTTAAGTCAGGTAGGCCATTAACTATAGGGTCGGTGGTTTGATCAAAGAAAAAAGTAAACTCGCACAATCCTCTGTGCTGTTTTAACCACACGGGCCAGGTCCCTCCTGCTCTCTGCTGTGCAGCTGGCATACCACACAGTAAAGCACTGACAGAGGATGGTTTTAATCACGCTTCTGTAGAAGTTTACCAGAAGTTCAGGGAACAGGCAGCTTGTTTTAGCTTCCTCAGGAAGAAGAACCTCTGCTGCGCTTTCTTCAACAGGTGGGATGTGTTCAGGGACCAAGTGAGGTCTTCAGTAATGTGGAGCCCCAGGAATGTGATGCTGTCCACCCTCTCCACCTCCTTCCCACTTATGTAGAGTGGAGAGGGTGTGGTCTTCCTGGATCTCCTGAAGTCCACTATGACTTCCTTGGTCTTGGTGGTGTTCAGGACCAGGTTGTTGTCCGAGCACCACTCAGCCAGATGTTGGACCTCCTGTCTGTAGTGCGTCTCGTGGTTGTTGGAGATGAGTCCCACCACAGTGGTGTTGTTGGCAAACTTCACTATTGTGTTGGAGGAATAGGTGGGGGAGCAGTCCTGGGTGAAGAGGGTGAAGAGGGCCGGGCTGAGAACACAGCCCTGTGGTGCACCAGTGTTCAGGATGCTGGTTGTCGATGTCAGGTTCCCTATCCTGACATTCTGTGGTCTGTTTGAGAGAAAGTCCAGAATCCATGAACAGAGAGAGGTAGAGAGTTCAAGGTTTTTGAGTTTATGTACCAGTTTATGGGGGATGATGGTGTTGAAGGCAGAGCTGAAGTCAACGAAGAGCATCCTGACGTATGTGTTAGGGTGCTCCAGGATGTTGGCCCCCAGTTTGGGAAACATGAATGAACTCCTCAAACCTGCCATCGTTGATTTTCTGTCCACTTTGGTAACAAACAGGTGCTTATTTACACATTAAGCAGACATGGAGCAACGCTATCATTCATTTAGAGTCATGTTCCCGGTCATGTAAGTCCAATATTCACTCTCTTTTAACTCTGTGTTGGTCTCCGCCAACCCCCGAGAATAAACATTTGCCTCCTTAGCCGCTAAAGCTCCACTGTTTTGACCAGCTAGTCTCTAACTGTGTCTGTCTGCTGTTTGGTGCGTGGGCGTGTAGCGTACAGTGAGTCTTCATTCAAACTTAATTACACTCAGCCCACCTCCGAGCAGTTTTCATCGGCATTCCACAGTCTCCACAGAGCCGGTGGACTGGCCGAGTCAAATATATGTCCTGAAGAACGGCTGACGATTATCGCAGTTTGGGGGGATTTTTTTTTTTTTCACCTTTTGGCAACAAGCTTAGTGGCAAATAGGCTCAGCCCCCTCTGATTGAGTCGTGTTATGTCTCCCCTTGAGAGATCCAGACGGATCAGGTGAGGACAGTCTGCTGCCTTCCATTCGCTCCTATAATCAGGAGCCAGTATCATGCTAATGTGGTGCGGCTATTAATAGGAAGGAGGCTCCATCCTGCCACCCGTCAACACCCGACTCACCTTAACTGGCTTCACTTGAGAGAAAATGCAGTGAGTGTATGTGTTGGCATGATTATCTTTCCTCCTCATCTGCCCCTGCATCCTTTCCTCTTCACTTTCCCTCCATTTCCCTTTCATTTTTTCCCTCTCTCTTCTCATTCTCTCCTTCTCCGTGTCTTTGTTTTCAGCCATTGTTCATTCTCTCTTTCCTCTTTTTTTTTTTACTTGGTCTGTCCTCCCCCCTTCTTCTTTTGCATCATGCCCACCTCCCCCCTTCCCCTTCTCGTTCTCCCTTCTGCTCACCTTTTCTATACTTGCTGTCCCCATCTCCTCCATTTCTTCTTCATCCTTTCCTCCTCTCCGTCTCCTCCCTCCTCCCGCTATCTCTCCTCCTTCCCTCCCCCAGTCAAAGGAAGTCAGCAGGGAGAGACGGAGGGGAGCAGTACTGCCTGCTAAGCAGTTGAGCACAACACACTTCCAAAGCTGTGTGTGTGTGTGTGTGTGTGTGTGTGTGTGTGTGTGTGTGTGTGTGTGTGTGTGTGTGCGTGTGTGTGCGTGCGTGCGTGCACACTTGAGTATTAGGCTTGTGTTTGTGTGTGACTAAGAGAATTCAGAGTGTTTATTCACCAGAGAGTGTGTGTGCTTGTGTGTGTGTTGCAGAAGCCACTGTTTATCACAGTCACCCTTATCTTATTCATGAAGTCCAGCTGACTATCGCCTTACCTTTTCTCCCACCATTCTCTGTGTTCACTTCGCACACACACACACCTGTACATAGCTCTTAAACAGGTGTTACTTTTCTGGCAGCTCCATCCATTAGACATAATGGTTGTGTGCCTGAAAGGTTTTTTGTTTTTTTTAATTAAAAGGGGCATGTGAGTGAGACTGTGTGTGTGTGTGTGTGTTCATGTCTACCTCTCTTTGCAGCAGCCATCTGTCTCACTTACAGTGACAGTGCTTCTCCTCTGTTGTCTCTTCTGTTTTTCTTTTCTCTCCCGTCCTTTTATTCAGCTCTTACTCTCCTCACCCTTTATTTTTCCTCTTGTCTTCCCTTCTCCTCTTTCCTGCTTCTACTGTCTTGTTTCATCTTTTCTCACCCTGATTTACAGAGTATGTCTGAGTTTAATACACTCCCGTTCTGTGTGCACAGTTTGTCTGCGTTAAATCTCGGTTATGCTTTCCGCACGGACAACGTTTGGATCTTTTATTCTCCGTGTGGGTTTCTTTTCGTGGCAATTCAATATTCTCCCAAAGTGTAGGTGGCAGTGTATTACAAACTCACGGCTACGGCATGGTTCCCACCAGGCGGCAACCTCCAGTTCTGAAGACATTAGCATTCTCTCTAATAGCCAGAAGGGGGTCGACTCCTCCGGTTGCAAAAAGAAGTCTGATTGTACACAAGTTTGAGAAAATGACTCCACTTCTCTCTTGATTTATTCCCTCAGTAAACATTGTAAACATGAGTTTATGGTCTCAATCTCTAGTTTTCTTCTTCAATACAGCATGATGTTCATTCAGTAACTTATTCTCCAGTTTAGAGTCAAATAGACCATAAAGCGGAGTATGCTTTAGGGCGGGCTGACTGTGATTGACAGGTCACTGCCAGGGATGTATTTTTTTTGGTGCCAAAAAATGATCAGCACAATGACCCAGCCCTTCTACTGGCACACACTGTGTTATTTATCCATGTGTAAGGTGACCAAGAGCAAGTACAGTATATTCTACAGAATATGTTTGGGTGAAACTGTACATATTTCATGCTGCCCCCCCCTTGTGTCTCACTGACAGTCCTGCTCCGGTACAGCACCTCCACAGGCGGACCCCTCCACCTCCTCCTCCGCCTCCTCTTCCACCTCCACCACCACCACCACCAAGGCGGAGGAGAAGAAGAAGCTTCTATCTAAGGACTCCATCCTGTCTCTGTACGCCAGCAGTTCAGTGGCCAGTCAGCCGCAGAGCCAGCAACAGCCTGCTCCAGGGCAAGGTGACGCACGCTCACGTGCGCACACACGCACACACACACACACACACACACACACACACACACACACACTCACACACACTCACACACACAGGCAGCGTTTTCACTAAACCCTTTCTCGTCCGCATCCAGTCAGTTGAGCTGGATCGTCTCATCCAGCATCTACGTGGAACCGTGGGGCTAGAATGTGTTCACACCAAACTAATTTGAATCTATTTCAACGTGCGCTCCTTTAATCTGTTCAACTGCAGGAAATAACCCCAACATGCAAAGACTTCTGGGTAAAATAACGTCTACTGTTGGCATCTCACCTGCTCAACCAAAGCTTTCATACTGTTGTGTACAGCTACAGTGTGCGACAAACCGCCTCAACACCAGGTAGCATCTTACCTGTTTCATTTTGGCGTCTTTCAGCTCATCGTTTTTGGTTTTACAGCACTCAACTTTACTGTTTTAGTTCACTCTTATCAGCTATTTTGAACATAAACAGGGTCTGTTAAACCCACTACACTATACTATCTGCACCAAACAGAAGACAGACAAAGTGAGCGACTAGCCAGATATTTTCCTCAGGAGTCTGTGGCAACCAACACAAGTCTGGTTGCTACCATGTTCGCCATATCAACTTTATACGAGGATAAAATGTCCGTTTTTGTGTGTATAGCTTGTTGTGCCGCCCCCAAAGTGGCCAAACAAATCATTTAAGGTTTAAAGGCAGCGCCATTCCACATAAAGTTAAAAGAAAGCCAAATTTCTGCCCTGGGTGGTTCAAAGGCGTATTTGCTTGAGTTGAAGATGTTGCAACTGGAGCAAAGTTATATGTTATCCCGAGGCTTTATGTCTCCGTTTCATAAATGTAGAGAGAAAAAAGCCAAAAGTAGCTAGACTGGAGGAAAACTAGCAGAATCGGGTGGAGTTGCGGTGGCTGAGTTTTGAGATCTTCCAGAGGCTGAGTTGTCAAACTAAGCCTGCGCAAAGTCTGTATGTAGCTAGCTAGCCACACCTATTGTGGCTATTATTAAAACACTCCAGCTGTCCGCACCTTTACAAACACACGCAGAGTGAAAACATAGAACACTCGTTCTAAACCTTTTTTTTACTACTCTGATTTGGAAAAATAAATTCCACTATTGTTCCCCCCATGGTTATAGGTTGCATTGTGTACATGAGTTGTTGGGAGTTTAACCAAAGAATGATTTGTATTTGGTTGAATAGATAAAAACTGGCCATGAAGGTGTTTTTTTTTTTTTTTTTTTTAGAAAAGCAGAGATTAGAGGTAAAAACTTGAGATTTATAGAGCTGGTATAGGTATGTTTTCTTCCTTCCTATCTTTGGCTCCTCAGGTTCACTTTGTGACCCCTTAGAGGGCCCTGCCCCCCAGCTTTGATATATCAGGTCCTAATAAATGCTAGCTGTCCAGGCGAGGATCCTCAACACCTACCATGGATTTTGAATTGAAGGACCGGCAGGTCAGACCACTTAATTGTGTCGTAAAATGTAGACAGCATGTCTCATAAAGGGGGGGGGGGGGGGCACATAGTCATATAAGCACAAGAGCACGCACACACAGACAGAGACACACGCACACTTTCACACATCCATCAGAGGAAAGATGCATCATTGAAATGGAGGAGAGTGGAAGGCAGATGAAAGGGTCAGCGTGCTGAAAAGCAGGCAGGTCCACTTACCGGGATCTCCACCGCTGCAGCAGCACAAACAGACGAGCAGATGCATGCTCGTCTCACAGCTATTATGTGTAAACACTGACGACTGCAGACGTCTGTTTCTACATACGCGTGCTACGTGCATCCACCCGAGCATGTCTGGGAGCGTGTGGGGAAGCGTTGGCGGTACACGATTTCCTGAACGGTGAAAGAAAGGAGGCAGCAGATTTGTAAGCATCGATTGTATCGCTGCATGATCACACTTACGCGTAGAGGATTAGGGATGGAAATCAGCATGAAGGGCTTTCTGCTGCCTTATTGTCCTCTTTTGAGTCCTAATAGATGCTGATGGAGATCAAAGCCAAGAGATCCTCGCCAGGCTAATGCCTTAAATCACTGACTTTCGTCGTGTGTGTGTGTGTGTGTGTGTGTGTGTGTGTGTGTGTGTGTGTGTGTGTGTGTGCGCATGAGCATGGCTGCCTCTGCAGAATGCTTGTGGATCTAAGTGCAGCTAATTAACCTCCAAAACAGTCCGCGTATCCTTTATTGATTTACACTTTGAACCTGCACCAGTGGAGGATTTTTAAACTTGTAGATATGAACTGTTCTACAAGAAGCCATATCTCAGCATCAGGTGGACGTCTCTTGATATTTTGTACATGGAGTCAACACAGCTGACTCATATCAGAGGATATTTTGTCCATTCAAATAAGATTTCTGTTCCTTGAGGTCTTCCCACTCAGTAAAAGAAAAAAAAAAAACACGGATAAATGTGTGTCTTATTTTCCCACAGTGGTCTCATGCGGTGCTGATGGGTGTTTCTTTATGAAATATGCGGAATTCTGCGGATTCAGATTCATCTTTAGAGGCAGTAATAAAAGTGTTTCTACTTTTTGATGTGAAAATGGGCCCAGTCTGGCCACATTCTCATTTAGTTAGGTCTAATGTTGTTGTGACTTTAAAGGTACAATCGTTAATATTTTAGTCCCGATTGATTTGAAGCCCCGGTTGGAGTTCACTTTAACAACACAGATCCTCAGTTAGACCCATCAAGGGTTAACAGTGGTGCCAAACCCCAGTGGTGGGCCATCGCAAGGCCTTCTCTGCTGGTCTAAACAGAATCACAAAGTTATATCTATTTTATAATTTTAAAATTTTTCTTAAATACACTACATGTATTATAATTTATAAAAATATTTTTCCCACTATCTTATTTTCTCATTGCACAGCATCTTCCTCAGTTGCTCTGCTTCCAGTGCAGTTTGTTTTAAGTAGAGCTTTTATCCAATCAGATTTCACCTCTGTGTCTCTAGGTAAGAAGAGGGGCCCGAGGCCTGCAGAGTCACACGTGCATCCATGTGCAGTTTAAGTGAATGGGGACGATATTGTTGATTGTCATAGTGTTCAACCAATCAGATCTTTAGTTTGACATGTTGGCTGTATTCTTTGACATGCCAGAGCCTGCTAGCTGGCCTACAAGTACATGATTGGTCAGTGGGCTAGCCTGACGTGTTGGGCGGTGACAATGCCAATATCTGCTGCCTCTGTCGAGGGGACATTTTCAGCCTCAAACGCATTAAAACCTATTCAAGAAATACAACTGGGGAGGCTCGACCGTCTTCACTGGCGTCCATGAATCGAGAAGGACTTCTTACTGGAACTAAAATGCACGGATGTACTGAACAACCGTGAGATTAAACTCTTTAACAAAGAAAGGAGGATGCACTTTGTCTTTAAATAGTGAACAGCAGCTCTGGCAAGTTAAATGCGTTTGTTTTTACATCTGCAGTATCTTTAAGATGCTTGTTTATATATTATTTTTTGTACAACTTGTTTTTATGAAGATTGGATTTTTGTTTGGTTTAATATGTGATCGGAACCATTGTTATGTCCAGTGTTGCTCTGGGGACATATTTAGCCGGTGCCAGTGTTGGCAACCTGGCGACTTTCTCGCTAAATCTGGCGACTTTCTAAACCCTCATGGTGACTTTTTTTGTCAAAAGCTACTAGTGACAAATCTAGCGACTTGTTCTGGTGTTATTGGAGACTTTTGTGACGTTAAAGGGCTACCGTTCTACAATTACTGTCGTGAACGAGCAGCGGGTGCTGCCCCTCCGCCACCCCAAAGCTCACAGGAGGTAACTCGCGCAGCAGTCCCAGCTGCAGTCAGAGCAGAGAGCAGACGCACTCCCGGGGAATGGTGGACTCCGCCACTAAGAAGGAAAAATACTGTTTAGATAGATAATTACAGAATGTGAATACATTGCAGGAAAAAAAAGATAAATAGTGTGAAGACTGGGTTGTTTTATAATGCAGTTATTAAGGATTATAACTGTATAACACACCCGAACACATCAGGCAATGAAGTACAATAACAAGACATAGTTAGTAGCTATAGTGGCCATGCTTAGTGTTTTAAAGTGTTTTGAACATTTTAGCGGAAGTTTCAGATTTCTTATATTTGGATTTTAAAGAAGAACTATTTACTCTTTAAATTCCTTATTTTTCTACATATCTGAATCAAAGCAACACTGGATTCTGGAAAACTATTTATTTATTTCAACACAGCTCTGTTATGTTGAGTTGAAAATAAGCCATGTAGTAGGAAAGTTAATGTGTGTGTGTGTGTGTGTGTGTGTGTGTGTGTGTGTGTGTGTGTGTCTTTGTCTTTGTCTTTGCACCAGCAGGAATGTACGTGGGCCAGCCTCAGATGCAGTTCACCCCGCAGGGTTTCGCTCCAGGGGCGGCCGGAGCCGTCCCACCCACCACCGCCACCATGATGGGCGGAGGGGCCGTGATGTCCAGCGTGGCTCTGCCCAACGGCGGCTACGTGGGCATGCAACAGCAGGGCGGGATGCCAGCCAACCAAGGGCAGAACATGTACTGCATGCAGCAAGGACAGTGGAGCATGAGCCAGGTAACACTCAGATAGGTGGTGCGTAATTGATGAACTCATTTTAACATCTGGCTGAATGTAATTCCTCTCCAGTTTCTCTGCACATTAATCTTTTATGAAGCACACTTCCCTGTTTACTGTGAGTCTAGTAACCCACATAAAAGTGTCTCATTTCCTCCACACCTCCATTATCCTGGTCCAAACATTTAATATATGGTCTTCCACTATTTACTGCTATTTTCTTCAGTGCATCTATGACCTCGCCCCCTTTCAGCCTCTTTAAATCACAAGAAAAACTATTCAATTAACTATTCAATGTGTTTGGTCACCAAGGTTACTGTATCATTTTTTTCTTAAATTCTGTCAAGTCACTTTCTTATCCCCAAGTACAAAGAAATGACGAGATGTGTGATGAATTACCCAACATTTGGAGGGAGTCTTTGATGCAGTGGGGTGTGGTCAGTTTAAAATGTAGAACCAGCTGTGAGTGACACATGGCCGGTAGGAGTAAAGTATAGTATACATTAAGCATTCACAAAGAATGGGTCGGGACCCACGGAGGGGTCGCGGGAGGTTTTGTTAGGGTCACCAAATATATTTGCAGTATTTGAGTCACATAAGGAAGCCTGAATGTTGGCATTGTTCTGATAACTGTTGCCTACTTATAACCAGGCAGCAAACTCTGGGTCTATAAAGTACAGCCAATGCAGAAGTACCTTCAACCTGCATTCTCTCTAATGTCCATGAGGGGGCGACTCCTCTGGTTGTATAGAAGTCTATGAGAAAATTACTCTCACTTGATTTATTCCCTCAGTAAACATGAGTTTATAGTCTCGATTATTAGTCTCAAGTCTTCTTCAATACAGCATGATGTTCATTTAGTAAATGATGGTCCATTTAGAGTCAAATAGACCATAAAGAGGTGTATGCTTTAGGGCGGGGCTACCTTGTGATTGACAGGTGGCTGGGGGGTTGGGTTGCAATCAGCATTCAAACTAGTTGTCAGCATCTTGACATCCAGGGAGGTTGATGAAAGATCATAAATCACCACTGAGACACACACACAGTCAAAGTGTATGTGTGTGTGTGTCTGTGTGTGTGTTGCGCAGGGAGACGTCATGGAATGGTGACTTGATGAACGAGCGTTCGGTTCCACGTTGCACAATGCATAACCACACACACATACCATCGCACGCACTCAGCCACCATCTCTCAGATGACCAGATAAACGAGAAGCGCTGCACCCAAGAACATTCATAATAGATAAGGCCGGAGGGGGGGAGGGGGGGGGGGGGGGGGGGGGGGGGGTGCTTTAAGAGCGGAGTCGAAGGTAAAAAGCGAGGGAGTTGAGCTAGAGGTCGGTGAGTCCCCCTCCACCTTCCCTCTTGGATGAGGGAATAGCTGTCTTCTGCAGCTCTGATGTATTTCAACAGTGACTTCCCTCTCTCTCTCTCTTCCCCCCCCCCCCCCCCTTTTTTCACTCAGATGACTCAGCAGATGTCAGGCATGGCTGTGAGTGGTGGCCAGTCAGGGGCCCCCGCGGCCGGCTGGCCCGCGGCTCCCCCGCCGGCTTCTGGCCAGACCCTCAGCACTCAGCTGTGGAAGTGACAAGCAGGAGGTCCGGAGGAGGAGAGTGTGTGGGGGTGTGGTGGGGTTGAACGGAGGGCAGTCATATGGCAACAAAAACAGCCCAAAAAGGTGCTCCTGACCCACCCAGCTCCGAATAAAGAACGCACAACAGGGGCAGTTCAACTGCCTTTAATGCCCCCCCAGCCGCAAAAAAAAAAAAAAAAAAAAACCTACCCACCGTAATTCCTTTAATAAGACAAGATGACATCACACTGGATGGAGCGGGGGAAATAAGACAGTCTGGCAGCTGTCGTTTCCCGCCTTGATTTTCTCTGTTGTGACCAAACAGCAGAATCTGAAAGATTCCAGTGTCTATTATAGTAATATTGTATCCTTACCAAAATGGATAGTTAGTGAATAGTCTTTCAATACCTACAGTAGATATGGCTATCTTGTGGTTGTCCCTCCCTCTGCTGTGTATATTGTAACCCCCCCCTCTCTGTAGGGCAGATAGTCGTCTGAACAGTACTGTATTTATGTGACTATGATGTGAACCTCCCACTGTTTTCAGAGCATAGGAGAGAGCTTGAAGCCCTTCTCCTCTCGATTACTTTGATTCTGGTTTGACCTCGTTGACGTTCCAGAGGTGGCATTGTCCAGGTAACTTTACGGGGTTTGAAGCTGCTTACGGCCGATGTAATTTTGTTCCCAGTCACTGTCATGTAATTTGACCAGTTTCATACAAAGAATTTGAAACCTTTGAGCAGTCAAATAGTGTCTCATTACGACAACTTCAAGTTGTTGTTTTTTCTCCCACAGCAGCCACTGATAAGCTCTACAGTACAGAGCAGACACACCAGTGGCTCCGAACCTTGAGGTTGAGTCAGAACTGCACATGAGTAAGATCATTAAGATAGGGAACAAGAAAGTCTTGCCTCCACGGACTCTAAAATTTATTGAACTTAAACCTTTTAACAGCTTAACCACTCATTGAACTTCTCACAGCTCATACACATAATCAAACTAGAGTTGCTACGATATTAATACCAGTATCAGAAATGCCTTTGGTATCGGCGAGTCCCTGCACCAATCCGATATCACGTTATCGTATCATTTATAAGCTTGTTTACGCTACACCGGAACAACAACAACACATCACATCACTCGCTGACCGACCTGTACGGCACATCGTCAACTCTTAACAGAGATGAGAGAGAAGCGAGACTGCTCACTCGCCATCAGCTCCGGGGAAAAAAACAATCGCTGCGTCCAAAATCGATGGTGGAAATAGCCAACGGGTGAGCCGTCTTGCTTCATGCACATGCTCAGTAGTGATTGGGCAGGTGCTAGTGACGATGTAAAGTTAGCCAGAGCTAGTAAAATTTCAGCAATTTGGCAAAATTCTGAACACACTGGTATCTGATTGATACTTAAATTCAGGTATCGGAATCTGTGTCAGGAAGGAAAAATAGAAAATAATTGTAATAGAAAATAATTCAAAAAGTTTTCTTCGTTATAAAGCAATATCAGTCAGCCCATACAACGACTTACAAAAGATTACCAACATTGATGATAACACAGACAATCTCATGTCGGTTTGCTTGGTATCGAGCTGGAGCCAGAAGGCGATTAGCCTAGCTTAGCTTCCAGACTGAAAGCAGGGGGAAACAGCCTGGCTCTATCCAAAGTTTCAAAAATCTTAACCTCAAAAGCTTCATCAATTGACTAAAAATATAAAAATACAATAACTCAGTATTCACTGTGTAGATATTTTACACACATTGTAACAACAGATACTCCAATTAATAACAATGTTTGTCAAGCCCGAGTTGCAGGAAGACATTCCCTTAAAAGAGTCAAAAAGCTGAAGGTTTGGAACCACGAATGAATATTAACCCTACTCTGGATGTGACAACACTCGTAGTATCACTAGTATATTATTATATTTATATGCAGATGATACAATGCTGTTTGTCATACGGCGAGCTGGTTGAAAACAACCCAGGAGGTTCCCTTTAAGTGATTGCTGGGAGCCTCTGGGTCCTCTGTAGCCACGCTGTGGTGTTTTAAAGCCTAACGAGCTGGGTTCAGTGGACCCTGGGCTCCGAGCCATTGAAAACTTGCCTTGTTATAGAAATGAGCTGTTTCCCCTGCGCTCCCAGCCGAATATAATGCACTACTGGAATCGCAGCAGTATGTCTTTACTGCACTTTAGTAGGTAGTATCGTACCTCCGGCTGTGTCGTGGTTTCATCAGTCGGGTTGTTTTAATGGGAACGGCAGAGACGGAATAAACTGTTCCAACTGCTGGGGAGGACTTCTACAATCTTTTTTTTCTTTAAAAAAAACAACTGGACCAATGTTGCTCCCCTCATGTGTGATGCTGTAACTGTATATTCTACCATCCACCATCTTTGTTGTGGTGTTTCGTTGTGTGTGGTACAAGAGAAGCACAGGTATTCTGAAGCAAATAAACCTGGGGGACCAATCAGAGGGCTAGACGATGGGGGGGGTTGGGGTTGGGGGGGGGGGGGGGAAGAGGAGAGGAGGATTGGACAGCGCTAGCAAAAGGGGACCTGCATGAAAAATGATGGATGGGTCCCATCGCCACTGTCCAGTCCTCGTTTATTCAGACTTAAGATCAGAGGAGCAAGAGTAGAAATGAATAAACATGCATACTAGTGGGATCAGTAGTATCAATACATGTCGCTACTGAATATTTGAAACGGTTTCAATACTCATTTTCAACAGTATGGATACACAGGTACCAGCTGGGCTGCCTTTCTGCTCTCTCTTGTCCAACGGCGAGTTCTCACACACACACACACACACACACACACACACATTGCTGTTTATCTTTTAATAAAGATCTCAGATTTGATGCCCTCAATGTTGTGTCAATTCTTTCCTGTGGTATCGATAATGGTATAGAATATTGTTGTTTTGTTATGCATTGCAATAAATATAATTCACAGAGGAAGACATGAAAACTATAGTGCATGAGACGGAGCAGGAGTGCAGTTTATAATCATGACAGAGCACTGGAATGATTTGTGTTATATGAATAATATTTTATTATTCATTGGACATTGGAAAGTGTATTATAGACTAATGAAAACTACATCATCATATCATCATACTTTGGTGCGGAAGTTGGCGCCATGCACCTAAAAGTTGCTATTGCAATCTTCCAAAAAATTCAGCGAAGAAGACAACCGTGGAAAGTGGAGAATTTCATAATGTCCGTGGATAAAATGACAGATCTGCAGTATTTGCACGAATGTGACAACTCTTCCATAGTTTCCACTGACCGTGTAAACACCAGTCCACCTGCTACCGTATATGATGGAACAGAACAAATAAAGTCATCCGAATTTTGAGTTGCATTCATTTCAAGTTAAATCATCCTAGGTCAGGGGTCGGTGAGCCGCATGCGGCTCTTCAGCCTCCCTGAGACTACATCCACACTACTATGTTTTCGTTTTAACAAACAAACTACACGGCGTTTCAGCATCGTTTTTGAGATGATCTCTGTCCAGACGAAAACGGCTGAAAACGAATATCACGTGACTATTCACGTACACTGGGCATGTGGGTGGGTGCCGGTGTAAACAGGAAGTAGATTGGTTGATTAGTTAAAAAAAAATATGACGGAGTAATAAAGTAGTCTTTAAGAATGAAAGGTTGTGTTTGATACTTAAGATCTTCCTCTAAAATCTTCCTCTATAAACTCAAACAGACCTGTAAAGTTTTAGAGGTTTTATTTTTCAGACTTAGTTACAGCGCTGCGGTTCTTGCTCTATCTTTCTCTCTCTCACCACATTTACTTTAATATCAACACTTACACATAAACGTTTACTAGATTATGGGTCCATAAATGTGGTCAACGCACGTCTCACTCGTTTCCTCGGTGTCGTCTGTTCTCACTCGTAGCTCTGCTGGTGGCTGAAGTCTCTGTCCTACTGGAGAGCAATTACTGCTTTTGTTCCTTTATAATTTATGTATGTGGATTTCACAATAGTTGTGCAGAACAAAATAAGCATTAATAAGAACAGGAAGGTCCTCCATTTTGTGTCCGTCCTCAAAGCTTTTTTTTTTTTTGCACAGTGGACAATCTTTCAAAGGGAACTCTTATCTTGGAGTTTGAGGCGATACTGTGTCACTGAAAATAAAAAATGTTTTAATATTTTGTGAACTAAAATGTGCGTCGCATCCTATTATGTCGCTGTCAAGCGCCTTTCCCTGCAGGTGGTGATGGTAATCATGATTTGCAGACCCCCGCCCTCTGTAAACGATCAATGGATGAATCCAAAAAAAGAAATGTCAAAATAGAGAGTTTAATTCTGTGCAGATGTATTCATTTGCTTTCACTGCCAACTATGCTGGTTTACCTGTATGCTTGAAATGAGGCAAGAAATTTGCAAACAACAAAAAACAGTATTTGCTGAAGTGTCACGCTGGAGATGAGCGAAAAAGAGCGATTTCTCAACTGCTGCAGGAAACTCTCTTCATAAGAGTTTGATATTGTTATATCAGGTAAAATAGCAATAACATGTCAAGAATTGTCTTTATTCTTGTTCTATAATTTCATAAATACAACAAACTATAGTTTTTGTATATATAATATAACCATATACAAAACTTTATAAGCTTTGATATCAAATAGCTTTTGCGGATCCAGACGAATTTTATTTGGTGGAAAATAGGACAAAATGGCTCTTTGGATAGAAAAGGTTGCCGACCCCTGGGTTAGGTGTATGAAATATAAAGTGGATATTTTCACTGATAAATTATCTTTCATTTCCATTCATTCTGTCATTAACTAACTCATAATTTTAATATAATTAAGCTTGTATTAAAGTGTGTTAATAGGAAACACTAAATGGCCCATTTATGTGACATTGGGATCCCATCTGCCTTCAATTATAGGAAGAATAGTCACTGACGCCGTATACGGCTCTGGTAGCATTTTCTCATAGACTTCTTTCTATACAATCAGACTTCTTTTTGCCCCCCGAGGAGTCGGCTCCTGTGGTCAGTAGAGAGAATACAAGTTTGAAAATACTTCGAGGTTGCCGCCGGGGTTCAATATTATTCCAGCTGTCACAAAACTATAATGAGATGTGTTATGCTGTGTTCAAACCAAACGCAAAGCCAATTTTCGCCTTGCATTACTCGTGGGAGAGTTTACTCGAGAGGATCATTTGTGTTTCTTCACATCATTCGCACTAGAAGCTCCGGAGAGCAGCGTGTAGACGTTTCATCAATCATGGCTGAAATAACCACTATTGCTACTTTGTACATGTTGTAGAAGGCCCCGATATCCCGGGAAACTAAATACCATCTTGTCTGGGTTCATCACATCATTCCGGAGGCCCTCTCCGTGAATTTCCTCAAGCTGTATTCACTGCATCTAGCAAGCCACACATCAGCTGGTTTACTACAGCGGTATGAACCCACAGTAAAGATTTTGCTGTGATTTAATTGCAATAAACGGATACAAGAGAATGCCGAAATAACTACATCATGATGCCGATTTGTAAAAAGTCTGAATTCATGTTTTGTTAGTTGTCTCTAGGTGAACACCTACGGCTTCTGATTCAACAACGTCAGCACGTCAGTGATGACAGGAGGAGAATCTCAATGCTGATAGGCTTTTGCGACCCAGCGTCATGCGAATTTCTATACGTGAATGAGGCAAATTTGCATTTTTGCATTGCGTCATTTGCCTCTTTAAATTAAATGATTTTATTCGTCCCAATACTGTTTTTTCTGGTCCGGACATCACAAATGAAGTACATCCAAAAGTTTGTGTAAAAAGATGTGATTCCGGTTTGAGCTTGGAGCAACTGTAATGCTGGTCTTTGGGGGCGGGTGACTTACCTCAATGTAGATACCAACGTGTCATCCAATATGGCTGAAATAACCGCTGCTGCTGCTTCGTACATGTGGAACTCCCAGGTTGGTCGGAAAACCAAACGCTGTCGTGTCTAGGTTCATAACATCTGGTGAATTTCCCCGCTGCCTGGCGCAAATCTGTGTCATAAAAAACCCTCTGCATCAGAGGCCTCCTACAACAACATTATAAATATAATATGAGGATATTATATTTTGTTTACTCCGAGAAGGTCATTTGAAATAAAGGCTGTTTACTCCTGGATTTCTTCCTGTTTTCTTTCCTCCTGTTTACATCATACACCCACACAGCGCCCTCTAAACTTCGGTGATCAGGACAATAGTGCCGATAAAATACCCTGAAGAAAAACGGTTCTTTCACATTTGAGCTGTGAAACTAGAAGCCCGTCTGATGTGCTGTTGATATCCTGTCTCCTCGATTCATTCCTTCTGCCGGCAAGTGTGTTCGCTTGTGAGGTGAGTTCTCTTTGTTGTAACGCTCTGCATTATTGATGCCAGCTTGAAACATCACTTTTCACGTCGCCCATGTCCAAACCTGATCGCACATTTAAGACGCACACAATGAGAGGGCGACGGAGGTTGATCCAGATCATGGCGTATGATCAGTTCAGGGTGTAAAGGAGAATCAGCCTTTGTGCATCGATGAATCTTTACCGCGTCAACTCTGAGACATTAATGCGATTCATTTAAACAAAGATGGGAGCTGCGTTTTGACATTTTACAGGTGTGAAAACATGAAGAGGGTGACGTTCTTCAGGAACAAACACACCTTTTGGCAGATGATAAAAGGAGTGAAAAGTTTATTTAACAAAGAAATCTCGTCCAACACTTTTAATCTGGTCAGTAAGTCTAGCTTAGCATCACGACTGGAAGCAGGAGAATGCAGATAGCTTATCTCTCTCTGTACTTCAAAAATAACTCTACCAACACCTTTACAGCTAATTAACACATTGTTTCTAGCTTGTTTAAAACGTTATTACGTGTAACGTGTAGTTACGAGATATTACTTGATGAACACCAGTTTATCTGTTGGTACTTCTGCGTAGCTTGCTAGCTGTTGTTCCCAAAGAAAAAGTGAGTCCGCGTAACTTCCCTTAAAGCCACAAATTGTCAGTTTAGAATTTCTGCTAATGTGCAGGTTAAAGAATGATTTAAAAGTGTTAGCATGCGCTGCTAGGCATACTGTTGAAGTATTGAGAGGGCGGGCTAGCTGTTTACAGTCTTCCTGCTAAGCTAGCTTTATGCTAACAGCATCCTGATACCAGCTTCATACTAAATTAACCAGGAAATCGGTATCAATTTTCTTTTCTGCTGTTAAAGAAACAGCGTTGCAATACCACTGCCATAAGATGGAGGCGTTATCTGGACTGTTTGTACGGTAATCACATCACAGAATCACAGTTCATTTGACAATGATGTATTAATGATTAAAATGACATACATCATTCACATGGCACTTCAGCAACATGATATATTTTTTTTACATTTATACTTTTCACATCGACAAGCCGTGGATGGAGGGAAATTAACAGGCCGAGTCATCCCAGTTTTTGTAAAAACTGAACAAAACAAGAAGCCGGCCAGAGGTCTTGAATCATGCAGCTCCTTTAGAGTCTGTGTCCAGCGTGAACAGATTGTATCAACCCATGCTGTCGTTAGTCCCGGCCAAAGGGATGACGGGCAGCCACAGTCGGCGTTTCGGATCCGCTGCTCGGCTCCTCCTCTCACACCTCGATGACCACGGTGTCTTTCCGATGTTTGGGCTCATTGGCGAGGTGCGGTTTCTCCGTGCGAGTGTGCCAAACCAGCACCTGAAAAAGACAAGAAAGAAAAAGGTGTGAGTGGGAAACTGCTGACGGTGGAAATGCTGGGCTCTAAATAAAGCATGAACAGGCGGTCGTGCTTGGATGAATACAGCACGGAGGCAGGTGGATGGCAGAGCTGTACAGATAGTGTGTACGAACAAAGACTTAGGTTGATGGTTTTTTTTGTATTAAAGCTGCTGAAACCTGACATTTTGTTTGTGGAAAACACTGAAACACACTGAGAATTGCAGGTTAAAGGATCATTTTAGTTTTTTACAATTTGGGTCTCATGTTTATAGTATTGGTTATCTCTCCTACCCGTAATAACGAGATTGTACTTGAATACTCAATGAAGTTAAAGGTTCTAAGAGACATTTTGACACAAAGATCTGCTACCTGCTGGGTGAGATTATACTGACGGACACCGCACATCATCATCCAAATGGGCGCCCCAAATAAGGAGACAATTGTTTTTATTTTTTTAACAAATACTATTTAATACTTTCATTTTGAAATATTACCAAAAAAATGCAACCCAGTGACATTTATACAGAGCCTATTAAAGACACTACAAGGAAGTTTCATTTTGTGTTGATTTTGCAGTCATAAGTGGTAGTATTTACGAGCAGCAGAATCCCTTTAGATAACCTCTCATTCTACTGCACTGGGGGTTTGACAGTCCCGGTTCTGGTTCTCCGCGCCGTCCTTCTCTCCCGCGGGGTCTCCAGCAGCATTGCGTCATCGTTGGCTCCCAGTGGGGACCGCTAGAGTCTGAGCTGAAGAAGTTTCCACCTGGTGGCACCGATGACGAGCATTGAGAATAACTATATAGAAATATTGTTATCTTCTCTCTGATGGTCTCGTTTACTCATGTTGGTCATATAGAGGCATCAGTATTAAATTGATATTGTGTAATAGGTTCCTCACAGAGAGAGCCTATTCCCTGGCGAGGGGCACTAGCTACAGTCTTGCTGGCTACGCTCTGGTATGAATGAAAGGCCAATATGTTGGATTAAAGCCACAGGGTTTTGGTATTTCCCTCGTTGCAAAGACTATTTGAAGTAAGGGCTTCATTCCTTGATGATGCGCTGATGAAATATCCGTCAAATGAAAGACTCCGCTGTATTCTTTGAAACACAAATTTGCATTGTATCCTCCTGCTGTTGAATTTGAAGCTCGCCGGCGCACCAGGAGGAATTCCGTACACCGGGGGGGAAACGAGTCTGACGCCTCCTGAAAAAGGATCGCATCTACAGCGGCACGCTGCAGCCGTTTGTCTTGTGTTTGCAGCCAATTTCACAGCAATATATTGGTGAGAAAAAGCAACGAGATGGATGCAGATATTGATCCTGTTCTGGTGAGAGGGACGCATTTCATTCCTCAGAGAGTTCAAGTGGGGTTATTTGGAGGAGAAAATGTTTGTTTCAGCAGTGGGCTAATGAGCCTATATTTCACGCTTGTGACAATCCTGTGTCCAAAGCGACACACACACACACACACACATACATATACACATACACACACACATACACACACACACACACACACACACACACACAGACTCACGGAGGCATGATTTATTGCTGGCTGCCGCTGTTTCTGGGCTTCTTCAGGTGGAACATGTCACTTCCTGCGCACTGTGCTGCTAATTGGCCCGCTTTGCATATCTAATGAGGCTAATGTAGCAGCCACTTAAGCATCACTCCAGAGCTGTGAGGAAAATGGTGCCGAGCGTGTGTGCATCTGTTCACACACGTGTGTGTGTGTGCGCGCACTCGCTAATCATGTAGTCAGAGTGCCCCCCCCCCCCGTCACCCCTGGACTCACACCTCTCTTCATCACGATACACTATTTTCTCTGATGGCTTTGCTCTTGTTTTTTTACCTCTCTGTCTTCCTTCCTGCTCTATCTTCCTCTTCCTCCCTGAGGCGAAGTGGAGACAAAAAGCTTTACTAGGTTAGAGGGTTTTTTTTGCCTTAACAGCATACGGAGAGAGAGGACAGGCCTGTTTCTTCACGTCAGGAGGAAGAATGTGTGGAGATGCAGTGGAAGGTTTTACCTTGAAATAAGATACATCTCAGATGATTGCACTTAAATTCCAGTTTATTGAAACTATCTGTTGCCAATATGTTGGTTTAAAGCCACAGGGTTTTGGTATTTCCCTCGTTGCAAAAACTATTTGAAGTAAGGGCTTCATTCCTTGATGATGCTCTGATGAAATATCTGTCAAATGAAAGACTCCGCTTTCGCCATTTATATCAGTTATGAAAATAAATAAAAAAATATACTAAATATAAGGATGTGTAGAGAGCCCAGTATTTGTATTGGTTGATCTTGTTCTTATTTGTATTATAATAAAAGTGGAAATAGGCGTAAAATTCCTGTTTTCTCATTTTATATTTCTGATTTTAGGATAACAAAGTGGTCATACATGTCTTATAAACTATCTGATACTTAGCATGGCTTTATACACAGGTTAAGATGCTTGAAATGATTGGGCATTGCAGATGTTGACAGATGTTTAACATGCTGCCAAACCTTTGCACACTTTACAGATTACCGTGGTTGGATCTGCACAGTTGAAATGCAGATGATGCCAGACAGCTATTGCTGTCTGCATAAAGGAGAGTAGTTGTGTTCTGTTTCTTTGTGTGCTTCACCCTCCTCATTCTACCTGTCAGTCACTCCCCCAGCATCACCCTAACTCCCTTCACCTGCCTCTAATCAAGCACTCCCTCCTCATCAGCACAACTCCCCTCACCTGTTTAGCCACCTTATAAACCCCTGTCTCTCAGTCGCTCACTGCCAGGTCATTGTTTGTGTTCCTACCTACCCGCCCGTTTTGCTCGTCCTGTTCCCGGTTTCCCAGTCTGCATGACCTGCCTCGTCCTGCCGGATTTCCCCCCTCGTCTCTTGTCTTGTCCTTGGATTCCCTGTTTGTGTTGGTTACTCATTAAAACCCTTTTTTCACTACACCTGGCTGTCTGCGCTTGAGTCCTCATCATGCCCCGTGACAAAAAGTCTATTTAAATATCTTAGGCTACTACTACACTGCGAAGAATATAGGCTAAGTTACTGGGCAACAGGCTAACGCTAGCTTAATCTCCACCCAGTCAAAGCAGAGGTACTGCAACTTTACTAGCATGGTAATAAATAGCGCTTTAATTCTCCAGCGTGATATCTGCAACCGTGTGACACGCGGGCTGCACAACTCCTTTTCAGTACAAGCCTTTTTATGAAGGCAAATCACTGTCAAAATCCGAGAGCGCAAATGAGATCCATGCGCGCGCGAGAGTGAATTCTGCTCGCGGAGTGACGTGAAAGCGCTCGTCAAAGTAAAATACGCGCGTGGCTGTTTGATTTTCGCGCGCGCATGGATCTCGTTTGCGCTCTCGGATTTTGACAGTGATTTGCCTTCATACCTTTTCTTTACTCTCCTTTTGTGTTCCTGTCACCTCAGCACACGCGGGCACAGTACAAATACCTATAATAATATGTGTAAAATAAATATTCCTAAATGTGCTTTAACGAATACCGTATTTAGCTCCACCCCTTTAAGATAGTACACATCCTTATAATCACGGTATTTAATACATTTGCAAGACATTAAAACAGGTTATGTATTGGTTATCTAATCTAAAAATGATATTTATCGGTCTAGCTCTAGTGCTGACGTCATTGTTGAGATCTAGAAAGATTATCTAAAGCTCTTTTTTGGAAGTTAAAGTGTTGGTAATAATCCTTCATAACACAAAAAAAACGGTGTGCACATAACTACAGCAATTTAATGACTTAAACTGTGATGGAGAGTTATTAAACTGTTTGGCTGGTGTTTTAAATGTTGTCTTTCTACAGATGTCTGTGAGCTCAGCGGTTAACTCGATGAGTACGTTTTCCAATGTGAAAAGGATTTAAAGAATAAAATATTCAACATTTGTAAAATCATTTATGAAAGTTGTCACTCTGATCTGACGAGCCCTGTTGCCCCCTCAGTAAACTAGACAATGACCCTCTTTGCTAATGCAAGATTGTGGAAACTAGTGGTGCTGAATAGATGACACTAAACCACCTGAGTGTAAAATTTGACACCGTAAATTTCCCTTTCTTCTCGGTATACGGAGTAGGGAGAGACAAAAAACGCACAAATTCCATTTGTCAATGCACTCAGGATGCTTTAAGGATCGGGTCACCCAAAGCAGATCTTGTGGCGGTCAGAGATGCATTCAGCCACAAAAATAAAATAAAATGAGCAGAAACCTGAGAGCCAATGCAAATGAAATAAACAGCGGTGTAGTCTTTCAGTCCATGGCTGCGTCCCTTTTCTGTCCTCTGTGTCGTTACGTCCGTCTTGTTCATTTCCGTCACTTCACCTATTCTCTTTACACAGGCTTTGACTCACCCTCCTCTACTCACTTCTCTATCTCCTTTTCCTCCTGTGCTATCATCTGTCTCCATCTGTTCCGGCCTCCCCCCCTCCTTTCTTGTCCTGTCACTGCTGTCTGTTGCCATTACTCTCTTGCTCTAACTACATTACAGCTCCTGTCAGTCGTCTGCAGATACTGACCCAGCCATCAGATGAGCGCTTCTGCCCTTCATTGTCAAGGTCGGGATTCGGGCTCTGTGATCTGATCGTAGATGCATTCCTCAAAGTGGATAGAGCCTGGAGCTGGGGTGTGTCACAGCTGCTGGAGTGGGCTTTTATTTCCAATCATTTCAACCACAGCTGTGCAGACCAGTAAAGGTGGTTTAGAATGTAACTGAAGCGTGAGAGTTACTTGAATCTGTCAGGCACAAGGTGTAGTAGCCCAGATATTTTCACTGCACTTTTTTGGGTCATGAGCGACACACCCGCCGTGACATAGTTGCATCCCCGAGCAATGGTGGTGTGAACCTGTTGTTTGGGTGCAAAAGCTCACACGAACATCGACGGAGAGTGAGCTGTACCCAGATAGCAACCTTCTGGTTCAAAAGAGAGGAGCCAATACAGAAGGACTTTAAACTTGCATTCTTTCAAATTCTACTTTGTGATTGACAGGTCGCTACCGCTACCAGAGCCATATGCCACAAATGATGCCAGAAATTAGAAGAAATTCCCTCCAGAGATATTGCATAGATATAAGAAGTGCACATAGTCAGCGTGATGTCACCCACTGGTACACGGACTGCCGCTATGAAGCCTTGAGTTTGACAATTTGGTCGTCGCAAATCCCTCCAGACGAGAAGGGTAAGTAACAACATTCTTATCTGCTGGATAATATTTGTGTATGGATTAAACAAATTAGACATAATTAGTGAGCTTTAGAGGAGTTGTTTTAGCTGTTTCCCTGTTTCTAGTCTTAATGCTAAGCTAGGCTAATGTTAGCTCCAGCAACATATGACACATGAGAGTCCTATCGGTCTTCTTAAGACCTTACCTTAACTTACAACCAAATACGTGCTTTTCCAAAAATGTCTTTGCAACTATCATTTTGCAAAACTTACTGACTTGTCAGATTTGTGCATTTTTCTTCAAATAACTACTGTACACTAGATGAACTGTCTGGGTCGTGTCACATCTTCTAACAGTGGCTTCTTGAGTGACAATGTCACGCCGCGCCGCTTTTGTAACTGTGATGCGTGATTAATGCTGATATTGGGTTAGTTACTGCTGGGATGGCAGCCATTATTATGAGTGCAGTTTAATATCTGCCACACACACAAACACACACAACTGGGCTTTTATTAAACCCTAGTCAGTGCCATCCACCTCCAGTATGAAGGTTGCAGTCTGATAACGTGCTTATTATATAACTGACCAACCCTGCCCTGCATAATCAAACAGCAATGACTACGAGAGGTGAAATGTAGAAAAATCCCTTTGATTTCATAGAGAGCACAAACTGCATATTGTCTTAATGAAGACATGACCTTTGACCCTTAAAACACAAGTGCAAGGGAAGCTACCATCTGTGCCTGCTCATTTCATGAATCTCTGATACATACTGAGGCTTGAACACAAAAGTTGTCAGAAATAGTCGAGATTGCTTCATGAATATCTTTGTTATGTGTTTTATGGAGATTTATGCTTCTCATATGCATATTATTTGGTTTATCTTCCAACAAAGTTTACAAAAAAACATAAAACTACAACCATGTACCTAAAGTAAAAAGATAATAAATCACGATTTGTGTTACAAGCCTGTGTTTAACAAAAGAAACGGAGCCGGGCCGGCCGTGCATGCTTTTAGTGCACGTGTTTTTAGTGCACGTGCTTTTAGTGCACGTGCTTCTAGTGCACTCGAACACAGTGGTTGCGTTAGACTCTCTCCTTGAAAACATTCTGTCATAATCTATCATCAACCTACATTGTAATTTAAAACATGGGCTAAAGGCCATTTACAGGCAGAGTCCAACACACTTTTTGTCGAATTCAGCAAATATCTCCTCACAGTCCGCCAGCTGTCCGTTCAGGAAGTGCAATAAAATAACAACAATCTGGTGTTTGAACACAGCCCTGGCTCTGTAAATGGGAGACAGATAAACGTGGATCGGACCGAGGCACCAGGGCTGCACTTACTGTCACAGAGAGCAAAACGTGGATTAAAGCAGTGTAGTTCGTTTGATTAAATCATAGAATTTTTGAAATGATCAACACATTTAGAGATTTGGAATGAGGACTGAGACAGCAGCTCACTGTTTTTAATAGTTAACAAACAGAACAAGTTTATAGATTACGTGTTTAAAAGGGCATGGACAGAAAATATGAAGAGACACACCACACCGACCGTACCGCCACTCTTCATTTTTCATGTCAACACAAACAAAGAAGATACTTTTTTTCTTTCTGCTGCCACACACTGGAGACTGGACTTACCAGACTCTCTGAATGTGGGATTTCTAGATCCTGCACTCTGTGACCTGCAGTGGTCACTGACACACGCCAAGGCCTTCAGTCTGGCAAAATGACGGACGCCCTTCAGATTAGTTCCCTCATTGAGCTCAAGGCTGCCGCACTGCTCTCATACATTCACCCTCCAGGTAAACTGTTTCTGTTAGCGCCGTTAGCAACGAGCCACCGGCTCAGGCGTTGCCGTGTTGAGAGCCGAAATGCTTCCAATCTCCTTTAATGCACCTGAGGTGTCTATGATTAAAAAAAAAAAAACAGAGATAGCTATTGACAAAAAAAAAGGGCTATAATGGCTCATTTGGACATCATGCATAGCTTAAAAAGTGGAAGGTGTGCATGCAGTGGGAGGAAGTCTAGATGACAAGTGTCTTTAAAAAAACCTATTCACAAAAAAACTCTTTTGGTCATTTTTGAATGCAATTTTAAAGACTTCAGCAAATTCATTTCCCATCTACTGTCATGTTGTCACGCTTCTGTGTCAGTCCATGAGGTGGAAATAACACCTGTGGAACATCCGTCAGGCTTCCCTGTGCACTATACAGCTAATCTGGTTGATAAGAAGTTATTGAGGATGAGCTTCGCCAAATGAATATTGAGCTTAAACGTATCTACGCCTTTGAGTTTTCACGAGTCACTGTCCTCCACTACAGCGTGGAGCCGTAAGCGCCACATAAGGCCCTTGACCCGAATTGTTACATAGTCAGAAGCATTTGCGTCTGTTGCCACGGTGCCAAGCGTCGCCTGGTTTGCTCACCCGGGTGCAATTGTTGGCCTTGGGCTCCAACTCGGTGACCTTGGTGATCTGCTTGAGGAAGTCGGACTCCTGCATCCCCGGCTGGGAGCCGCGCCGCTTGAACTGCGCCCGCGGGTTCGCCAGGATCACCTGGAGGTTCACCGCAAAACCTGAGGGGGAGAGAGAGAGAAAGAGAGAGAGGGAGAAGGAAGAAGAGGGGGAGGAGGAAGAGTGGGAGCAAAGAAAGGGAGAAAGGGAGAGGGAGGTTATAGCCAGCATGGATTAAAAGCACATTACAAGCCTATTATAATCACAGCAGAAAATGATAGAGTGCATTAGTGTATCTAATGACTATAATATGGCTGATATGAAATTCCTTTACCACAGGGGTCTGCCATTCTCCTGTGATAATTGCGCTATAGATGAGAAGGGAAAGCATGAGAAAGTCAGAGGGAAGTCAAACAGCTCATGATGCCAGTGTGTTGTAGCAGAGGTGGGGATTAATGGCTGGCTTGCAACCAGATTTAATCAACCTGATTAGAAAAATTGGTAAGTAAATGTGACCCCCGCATAATTGCTTGGAAAGACATTAGCTGTCCTGCAGTACAACCAGAAATATGTTTGGAAGGTTGAAAAGAAATGGTTACAATTTTGAGTTGAATGTTCAAATAATTGTTTCCATGAATCGAATAAGGCCACAAACTAAACGCAAAAGCTACAACTGACCTCTCCTACTGCTGCGCTTAACCTTGCTCCCGTCAACACGTGAGAGGAGAACACGTCGTTCGCACATCCGATGTGATGTCCGACCCTGCAGCCAGGGGTCAGACGGTGACACGCGATGCGTCTCTTTAACATCCGTTTGCCTCGACATCTACAGCTAACCCTTTGCTGACACGGCAAAGTGCTCAAGAGTACGAGTGACATGTAAAGATTAGGAATCCTTGGAGTTTTAGATAGAAGTGATGGGCTTTTTCAGAGAGGTAGTTTTGTGGCACATTTTCAGCAAAGTGTCTCTCTCTGCTGGCCTCCGTTCTTCTGTCTGCAGTTTGACTGTTTGGCAAGTGTGTTCATGCAAAATGAAGTAATTCTGCATTTGTATTAATTAACAGATGCTCTTCAAATCCAAGACTCTGGCCTCTAAATGCCTCAAGTTGTTGACACATTGACCCGATGATTGTCGGACCTCTTTAACAGCTGGTGATTGAATGAAAAGTATTGAGTCGTGTGCAACATTTGTTGTCATTTCGCTGGCAGTATATTTTCCCCCCAGAACACACTATATGTTTATCACAAGATAGATAGATTATCCTCCATTTGGTCCTACTTTAGCTATAGTAAAAGCAGATTATCACTTCAATTTAAGAAAATAATCCTATCCCATCGTCCAAAATGTAAGCGAGCAGTAAGGATAAAAGCGATGCTCTCTCACATTCTGGGGTAGAAATAGCGAAGACAGAGTTAAGTGAGTTCTCGGTGGTCTTCTCCTTTTCAGTAACAAACATCAACAAAGTCACTTCCACTGCTCACCACGACCACTGCGCTCATATTGTCTCATATCCAGTAGTGAGACAAATCAAGAACACCTTCCAGGTTACATGGATGTAACTCCAGTTCAATGAGTATGTGGGTTGCTTACCTTTTCTAATGTAGAGATACCGTGGGGAGTACAATTAAAACATGATACGGCCTGAAACAGTGCTATGAAACTCTACTAACGTAGGGCCGGGCGATGTGGAGGAAATGAAATTCCTTGTTAATGATAATGCAACAATATTGTAGGGTTGACCATTATTGCATTCGCATCAATCAAACAATGTGATTTTTGATAAATAATCATCGGTTATGTGGATTTATACCATGATCTGGGTTAATAGTTGATTCTGATTGGCTGCAGGGTTCCTGATAATGGAGACCTACGAGGCAGCTCCAGTTAAACTGTTTGCTTACCGTTCTAATGCGTTGGCTACATTAAAGGGAATAAATAAATGCATTTGAATATCTCATTTACAACCATGAGTGTAGTCCTTCTGTGCCTCATTCTTTGAACACCACAGGGTGACTGTAACACACAAGTTGCAGGGAGCCCCTCGGAACTGACACACATTATAAGCAATCGTCTCTCCCGTTCGCTATTCAACAGTACACATGACCTCCCATTTGTTCGTGAAAATATGATATTGATTTGAGGACAATGACATGGCTGGATATCTAGCTAGTCTTAAAACAGTGTCAAATTATATTTATCAACCGTACGCAATGCCATTGACTAATGTTGCAAGCACAACATAAGCTTCATGCTAACGTTATGCTAATTTAAATGTAGCAAAAATATTCATATCGATTTCGGGACAATGCTATGGCTATTTATCAAGCTTGTCCTGTTGTTGAACAGACTATAAAATTAAACCATTGTTTGTCAACCGTATGCATTGTTGTTGGCTTTGAATCTTGCTAGCATAAAGTTAGTTTCTGGCTCGTAGCTGAGCCAAAGGATTTTATGAGCTGAGCGGACAAGAAATATCTCCCGTTGCCAAGTCGTGTATAAGGTCCGTCCTATTTACGGGAGCATTGAACAATATGTCTATTGCATAAGTGTCTCATGGGATGGTAATGTTTATTCCAGACATTAGCAAAGCCTCAGGGTTACCAGGGAAACAGAGTTAATGGTTTGTAAACAAAACTTTAGATTTTAGTTGCAAAACACGTGAAATCACAAATTATTGGTCTTCATTTCTTTTTCTTTGGCAAGTGATATGCGGGATAATGGCCGACGAGATGTCCATTAGCAGGAACCAAAAGACGGTGCCAAAAGCGTCCAACGTGCTGCTTTTTTTTTCTTCCTAAAATGTAAACTATTCCTTTAAACCTAGCATGTGCTAAACCTAAAATGACCAAACCAGAAACCTTGTAAAATGGTCTATGCTTTTCTATTTTTCACAGGCATAATGGACGTTGAGGAAAAACCAAAACTGACTCTCAGCAAGTTCATTACGTAGGCTACGACCTGAAATCAGTGGCTGTCTGCACGGTGGGAAAGATACAAACACTATGGTGTAATTTAAAGGACAATGTAATTTGTTTTAAATGGGCTAAAACATGTAGGGTCCTTAAATACCCCATCAAGACAGTAAAAATATCAGTGTAGGTGTAGTTGTGTTTTTAAGCAGTGCAGCATTTCTCCATGGTATGCTGAAGTTTTTAGTTTAGAACGTGACGGGAGGATATTTTCAGAAATTGCTGTGATTCCCCATGCTCATGGTCTCGGCATAATTACTGAATATTTATTTATGCAAATCGTTAGTGGGTGGCACGCCTTGGCAATCAGTGCATTAGTACTGGTGGTGAATTACCCCCCAGTAATTCAGCGCCCTCGCCTCCTCTCTTTACTCTGTCCCCCTCTGACAGAACAGCATTTTCTAAAGGTTCTGACACATGGCCAGCAGTCCTCTGAGTAATGTGAGAGTCAGCGCGGGTCACGCAGAAACAAACTGCAGACATGCTAATTAGATTTGGTTTATCATCACACTTATATATAGGCTTAAGTCTGCTGCATTCTAGGCGAGGTCAACCGTCACAAACACATCCCAAACTTATACTTGCTCGCATATACAGGCACAAATATACATACCAAGGTGACTGAGAGCAAGTTGAAAGACTCTTACTGAACCAGTGACTCCAGACTGAAGGTCATACTGCCACTGATAACCACAGAGTAACAAAACAACACAAGGCAATTTTGACTTTGAACTAATTAAAAGCGTCTTGGGCAGCGACGGTGGAAGGCTTGTACCTTGTACATTCTACATCCAGTGGGTCAGACTACTGACCCCCCAACAATATTACAAGTTTAAGGTACAAAAAGCTCAAATGCTATCAGCAAACTCCCACCGTTGCACAATACCTCCACAAAAGAAACACACAGACCCTGATACGACACCTATACAGTTGTTAGGTTATGCAGGCTCATTACTGCTCTGTGTGCGATACTGCAGGCTAATCACAGAGATGAATGCAACTCAGGTGGAGCGGATAGATATGAGAGCAATTACAAGATAGGCATCTTCTAACCCGCAGCCGGCCTCGGCGATATGGAGATCACAGCTTATCCGAGCCATGTTTGGCTGAGAGGCTACTGTCCAGACTCTTCCCTAACTTTGTCCCACTTCACATCTGACCCGGCTGACCTATATGACTGCATGTGTCCAGTGAATGCTATGTTACCTTTTTTGGAGGAAAAATGATTTGCCTGTAGTACAAGTGCAACTGGATGTTCCAAAGCTTCATTTGGTGGCATTACTAATGCAACATTACGGCTGAACAAGCTTGCATTTATAATGTATTCCCTTTTTTGAGAATCTGTACCGCTCAAACCAATGGATCTATTCGGTCTCTAATCAGGTTCATGAACAATTTTTATAACCGATTTCAATCCAAAACTTTGAACATAACCAGGCTAGGTCTTCGTGGGACACCCCTCTGGCCAGCAGATCCATCCATATACATATCAAAATATAATGGTTTACTACAAGTGTCTTTAAATTGTATGTGCGCAGAGGGAATTGCCACGAAATGTTCTGAGCTAAAGGAAGAGAAAATCCTTTATTTACAAAAGAAAGTGTAACCTTTCAGTGTCTTGTATTGTAATACTACATATCTTCAAACAATGTAAAATCCAACATATCAAGTAAAGAGAAAACAGATCTGTGAAAAAGGGTAAAAGAAGACTGAATAAACATAAGTCTTCTTGTGCTGTATTGATTTGCCTTATTGTGGTGCTGAAGCTTTGGTAGCCTGAGGGAACTATGTGATCACTCTGTTGCCCTCTAGGTTTACTGCCTCTGTTCCATCCCATCGCTATGTGAGTCATTTTTAATTCAGAGGCCGATATGAAACACAAAAGACTTTACCTCCAGGGCAAAAACAGATGAGCACACTACGACAGTGCGGTATTAAAATACGCCGCCGATAAATGAACTGATGTGTTAACCCTCTGTCACCAGTTCATGTAACACCACAGCGGTCCGCTGAGATGCCCTTCAGCAAACGTGTATATCTGCTCCTCTGAAACACATGGGGTCGTGGTTATTAAATTAGAAAAACCTCCGACTGACAGGTTTCTGTTTCGTTTGAATAAAGACAACTGGAGAAAGGTGACACAGTACCACCCACACAGTTTGATTGGCAGACGACCACTGAGACTTGCGATGCAAAAATGCCATGGCAACAAGCACCTGGCACCGACAACTGAGACAAAGACAAGCAGAAATGTTGATCTTATGACCACCACAGTGGGTACTGGGTCCCGGAAAACTTGAAGTCTATTCAAAAACAGAAGAAGACACAGTAAATACATTACTTTTCACTGGAACGGTCTCATTAGCAAATTTAGCTTCTTTCAATGAGAATCTGGGTGATGATTCTGAAGATAATTGCTCTTTTAAGGGCTTAAAAAGAAGTTGTTTTCATGTAAGCAGTAAACCCAAATCCAGTCTTCAATAGAGGGCTATTGTGACATTACAGACCTCCATATCTTCTCATAGTCTTTCAGCAGAACTTCTGTTCACTGGTTGCATGAAGCCAACATGTCGATGGCCGTAATCCAAGATGGCGACAGCCAAAACTTTAAATTTGAGTCCTCAAAACGGCAGTCCACAAACCAATAGGTGACGTCGCGATGACTACCTCCACTTCTTATATACAGCCTCGGGTTTTTCTTCCTCTGTTCAGTTGTGCAGTTTCAGTTCCACTCCTACTGCAGTACTTCAGTGCAGGAGGATCTTTAATTGCTCCTGCACACTGCCTCTATCCTCCTCTCATCTCAGGAGCAGGAAATAAACTCTGCAGGTTAAACACGTTCATGTCCCAATCTAAGGGAACACTACCAAGGCAAAAGTACCACAAATTTGCTTGCACTGTTTTGCAAAGATGCAGCTCTAATGCGTTTCCGGGGAAAAATTGCACGCTTACTGTTCGCTTGTCTACTCGTATCAATTCAAGTGCTGGCAGGTGTGCGCTTGCGTGTCTTGCAAATAGATGCGTGATGTAGTAATTGTGTGTGTGTCTGTGTGCACTTGACTATAATGACACACACACACACACTGTAGTACTCCACGCCATCATTGTCCAGGCTCCATTGTGTCTGGCTAAATGAGACAGAGCAGGAGATGGGGGGCTTTAGTGGTCTGCTAACAATACAGCGCTGTATAACACAATACTATTAGGACAGGCACTCAGCGCCCTATTGTAAATCCCATGAATAATAATTTAAGAATGAATAAAGTTCGGCCGTTCGCACGCCACAGCCATTGTTGTTCTTGCTGAGTTTAAAACAAAAAAAAAGAAAAATGCTCGGGCAGCGCAGCCGCGGCGGTAAATCTTAGCGGCGGTAAATTGACAGTGTAATTATATAGTGCAGTGTTAAAGTAAGGCTGATAATTACAGTGTGTGTGTGTGTGTGTGTGTGTGTGTGTGTGTGTGTGTGTGTGTGTGTGTGTGTGTG